TACAGCGTACTGGAAAATAATGCGGTATCACCTGCGCATTTTGAATGGCTGCATCTGTATGCTCCCTATGTGAATTCTTGTTCTTGACTGAGAAAGCTTTAGAGAACTTTTACAACCATTTTTATTTAAAAAAATTGTAAATATGACGTTTACATTGGCATTTTTATGAATTTTTCACTTAAGTGTATGGAGGAGTGTTGGCTGTCAAGGAGAGCTCCCCCCTTCCCCCCACAGACAGACTGACAAAGCAATTGGGAAGTGTTAACTATCCAGCCATTGCAAAGGGTTCAACTGCAGCAGCCACAAATAAATAAACTTTTTTTTCTCCTGGTGGTAACTGTAACAAATTGTTACGTTTCACATCCTTGCGTAACAATCATGACGTTCACATCCAATTAAAGATTTGATGTTATTTTTATTTTGAAACCATGATCTTGAGATGCAGGTGTGAAGTAGAGTTAACAGCTTCAGATTTAAAAGGTTATTAATAATGTCTTCCATGTCTTGCATTAACATTGGAATGTTCGTACAAGTGTAAAAAGAGGAGATGCACAATGTGTCTCCTCTATAATTCTTCAGTTTACAGAGAAATTCTGCCAGGGCTGCACAACATTGTCCAATAATACTCTTGTGTCTAATTTTCAGGAGTTACCCTGTTACAAAAGGGAACAGCGCATCAGTCCTTGACTATGGTTAAACAGTACATACGACGTCTGGTGGAGTGTCAGAATTCACTTTTCTGTAATCTGTACAGAACTGTGTCGTCTCTTCAGTGTTTGGTACCAATAAACGGGGGCTTCACAGACTTTCTTCTTTGAACTCAACTGCGCTCCAGTAAATAATGTACAGTTTATCACCTTCTGCAATGCTTCTAATTTAGCAGGATTTTCGAGACACATTGTTTAATGGGGATGACATTACAGATGTCTATATCACTGTATGACACAGGTTTAAGTGGGAGTGTCTGTTAATAAAACAGAGCACCTTCCAATACATATAACTACTGCATGATTTCTTTATCTGTTTCAGCTCAATGAAGGGGAATTAAATCAGTCAGAATCTTGGAGTGGCAATTGTAAAAATAACCCTTCTCCTTTGTTTAACTTAAAGAATTTCGTGAAGAAATCCTTAATCAGAAGACCATCACTTAATTTATCCAGATATGCAAATTCACACCAGAGCCAACAACAAGCTATAATAGTGGACTATTTTTATGTATTCACTATATAAGAAACAAACCGAAAGTGATACGCTGATCGTGCTTTTAACCATTGGTTGCAGTGCTTTGTCCGTTACCACTACAAGGACAATAAAGGTTTTTTTAAAATGAAACAGATATCAAAATGTTTCTGAAATGTCCACCTGTGATATTTTAGCTGCTTAGTTACACAATTCCATATTAATATAACTATCAAGTGGTATTAAATAAATACAACTTTTTTGTATAGATGACACTTTCCTAAAATTTATTAAAAAGTAAAAACGATTACAATCTAATCTTTCCATGTGTGATGCCATTAGGAAGTACAATACGCTCCTGCTTTGTTTAATAGTGAGAAAGCTATTCTTAAAGTTAATTAAGGGACTAAGAAGACACAGATAATGATTTACGTTGTTGAATTTTAAAAACTAAGTGATAAATGCAGATGTGATTGGTGCCATTCCCTATAGAAAGCTCAGGCTGTGCTGCTAGCGCTAACCTTAGCGACAGAGATCGCCAGACAGAGCACATTCAATTCACGTCATGGGAATTCTCTGGAAATATAGAATACTAAGATTTTATATTAAGGATTTTGATATTTTGTTGTACTATGTAAGAGGAAATTCGAAAAAAGAACATTTATTTATACAGTAATGAATTTATTAGCCATCTTGGGTAAATTTCATATTCATAAGTCAAATGTTTTAATAATACTCCCTCTTTTAGTACTTTTGGGGTGGGGTTTAAATTGTATTTAAATTCCATAAAGAACATGAAACATGTAACATGTATTACAATGTAGCGCCACGCAGGGCGGGCTGAGAACAGCACCTGGGGACTACCGGACTGTATATAGTGAGACGGAGGCTGAGATACAGTCTCTTCCCTTCGTGTGTGTATGTTAGTGTAGGTGCAGTGCTGTAACCCCTGTCCCTGTGTGTGTACCTTTCCTGATTCGAGTTAATAAATGTGTTGTTCAACCCCATTCCCTGAGTCCCAGGCCTGCTCCATTCCGTACTGAAACCCGCGGTCGATACAATATTTAAAGTTCGAATACCGTTTATGTTCTCTCTTGGTTGTTTATGGTAAAGCTTAGACCTACTTGTTTTTAAGTTTGATTATAGGTCTTGTATTTGTTGAGTAACATGTGCCAAGCTTAGTAGTTATTTTTTCCAGATGTCATGTTAATAAGACCAAATAAAATGGCGTTCCAACACACCCAACAACTTTCAATAACAGTATTTTCTAATGAAACACTGTGATTCTTAACGATGGCAGCGTGACAAAAATATTGCTTTAAATCAAAGACGTACAGGATGCATAGACTGTCCACGCAGTTAAACTTGGTTTGCTTTTACGGCATGTCAGTCATTTATTTTATTTTCTCTTAGAAACAATAAGTGTCCCATTTTGTGCCTATCTATACGCTTTTGCTTAAATGGTTGTTAAATTATAATGTCATGTTTACTTCATATTCCTTTTTCACAACTTTATTTCATCCCACTGAAGGACCAAAACCGACACCATATAATGAAAGTATTGTTAATCGATTGTTTGTCAATCGACTTTTGATGCTTTTTGCTAAGCGACTTCATGGGCGGGGTAAACAAAGAAGTACTTTATACTCGCTCGTTAAATGATCGATGAAGAGGGATTTTGGGAAATGCACGAAAAAGTAGCACGTACGTTACGTACGTACATCGTAAAGTTGCTTGTAAGTCTCTAAGATTCATCGTTTTTGGGAAACTCACCCCTGTCCTACACAACAGGAAGAGAAGAGAACGTGATTTTTTTCTGTATGAAATGTGTTGCATTTATAAAATTGAAGTATTTTAAACATTTAATTAAAGTAAAAATCTTACAGCATACTTACAGCATACACAAAGATTCTACGCTGATCGTAAGAAGAAAAATCACCCGGTTTTTATGCATAAAAAGTATTTTTTAACTATCTAAACCAGCTTTTTACAGCTTTTTAAAGTCATGCAATGTTAGGCAGGGATATACCATTGTATCTTACCATTGTATCTGCAATTTCCCTCACGGGATCAATAAAGCATCTATCTATCTAATTATTTATTTTGTTTTTAAACATAAAAAACAATCGTTTGCTCATCGTGTTGATAGGCTGTTCTCTGATTCACTGGCAATTGTAAAAAATAACCATTCCCCCCTCCCTTGTTTAATTTTAAGATTTTGCCAAAAACAAGCTCTCAGAGCAAATCGGGTGTCCGGGCTGAGGTCTCCTTTAGCTCAGCCAGCTGGTTCCCTGTTGACTGATGCTGTCGGACCGGGTTCAATCTCAGGCACTCTACTATGGTTTAAAGTTTTTTATTTTAAATTCCAAGTTAAATTGTTTGCTGATTACTGGCTGCTGTTATTTGGATTAAGAAAAAATATAGATTTTCTCAATTCGGATGTAAACCTGAAAGAGACGCATCATGTTCTATAATAGTGGAATACATTTATGTATTTATATATAAACAAACTGAAAGTAATGCTCTGATCGCGTTTTGAACCGCTTGGGTGCTCATTGCCACTACAAGGATTTAAAAAAAAAATGAAATGAATGTCAAAATGTTTTCAAAATGTCCACTTTTATACTTTAGCTGCTTAGGTATATTAATATGGAATTGTGTAACTATCAAGTGGTGTTAAATCACTACAACATTTATCTTTTTACCTAAACAGCAAGTGGTGTTCTTACTACAGTACGTATTCTTAGAAAAGGATAAAACATTATAACTTTTTATGAAGTACAGTATGTAAGCTTAATAATGTTAGAAAAAGCACATTAAAACTAGAACCCACTGTAAGTTACCAAGTTAAAGACTTTGATGCAGAAAATATTGATCATTAAATTGTTTATGAAGAAGGTGGCAGGTTGTGTACTTTTGTTCAACTGAGCAATCTTGCTTTTATAAAATAATAGACTTTTTAATGTTTTATGTTTAACACGCTGTAATACACAGTTTAAAATTATTAAAAATCTATACAATATACAACTTAAATTCTGAATTGGAAAAAGATTGATCCTCGGCAGTAACTGGTATTCAACACCGGGCATTTTCTGGTGACAGCTTTATTTGCTCTACCTGGCGGTTTTACAAGGTACTTCCTGATACTATTATCCTATTTAAAAAAACATGTGGTATGTTGCGAAACGTCCACTGCGTTTTAAGGCAGCTCACCTCGCTCATTTTGGATGGTTGGATCTGTATTTTGCAGAAAATTATTTCTTGCTCTTATTTTCCTTGCCCATTGTTGACTAACTTATAATCCTATTGCAACATTTCAGATGTCATAGACTGCATTCAAGAGTAACAGGCATTCAAAGACAGCTCATTGCTGTAAGTGATGTTGATTGACTTGTTTCAGGGTTGTGCTGGTGTAGATTCTGACAACTGGGCTTGTGTGTGTTTGAGTGCAGGCCAGAGGTCCCTGTTTCAAGGTATGATGTGCCGAGCTATGAAGAGGTCATTGGCAGCCAAGAATACCCAGTTCGACAAAGCAACCTGCGCAACAGCACCTCCCTGCCATCCTATGAGTCACTGGCTGATGCCCTGGACAATGAGACCAACCCACTGCCAGTCAACACCAGGGAAGAGCCTTCCCAAACTCTGTCAATCCCAGATGCAACCCTGCCACCCCCTGAGCCACAGCCCCCACATGTGACCACAACAACAATTCAACCTTCTAGCCGGAACTCCCATTCTAGCTGGAAAATGAAACCTCTCAAAGTGAGGCGAATTAAATCTGAGAAGTTACACCTCAAGGACATCCGGCTCAACATACGCAGCCCTGCCCAGGGAGGCCTGGTCACCATTGAACCCCTCACACCCCCTCCCCAGTATGAGGACAAAGTGCCTGATATGTGAGGATGTCTGTTGTCCCTTGGGGAAAGGCTGCTGTTGGGGTGTGTGCTTTTCCATGGCATGCCTTGTTTACCAGGAGTTTGTGGCAGGGTACCCCAGTGGATATAGTATACAGGGCACCCGTTTCGTTTCTCTTATGAGCTGGTGGGGGGAGGAGGCACAGCAATGCTGCATTCTGCTGTTGTCACTGTTGGATTTTTGAGACAGGCAAATGGGATTACATCCAGTTGGCACACTGCTGGCACCTTGTTTGATTTCAAGAAAATCAATATCTAAAGCATCTATTTTCTGCAATGTTGACTTTGTGTTTCATGGTTGAAAATGGCATACTGATATATTTGAGTAGGGGTGCAATCCCATAAGACATGATAAAACCTGGGTTAATGCAAATTAAATCTGTACAAGGTGATGATGTCACTATTATTTGTAAGATGATTAATTATCTCTTAATAGAACTACAAGTTTGTAGTAGCAAATTCCCAAATAAAGCTACATTAATTCTAAAGGACTAAAATTACAGCTGGCATTCATCAACCTGGGCTTCAAAGAACAGCTACTGAAGCAACTATTCAGATGGCTCATCACACTCCTTTCCTCTCCAAATATTGATATACAAGTTAATCCTCAGGTGAATGGTGGTACAGCATAGTATCATAGTAAACTAGATTACTTAAATCTGCAAAATGATTTTTTTATATGAACGGTTTTTCAAATACACTTGAGCTTCATTAAGTTGAATTAGTCTGAAGATGTGCTATCATGTTTTCGATGTCTTCATTACTCTTCTGTGCCACAAAATAAAAAATATTTCTTATTGTGCTGCCTTTAATTCCTGTGAATATGTTGCTGTCATACTTGTTGAAAACTACTGATTTCTTATAGTTTAAAATGTGAAGCTCTGATCCTGTGTAGGTATAGTGTATACTGAGAAGTAATATTGAATAATTTACACAACAAAGATATTTTTCAAGCACTTAATTATCCCAAAGGGATCACTTATTCCTCATTTCAAGTGCTTCAATGGAGTTTATAACAAAAGTTCAGGAGAGATGATAGCAACCAAGTTCAATCAGCTGTCAGTAATAAGCAATCACACCTGGTGTCATTTCTTCTCCTACACACTATAAATACTATATGTGAGCCGTTTCTCTCCCTTGCATCTTTTTGCATTGACTATTGTATGACCCTGCTTTACCTATTTCCTCCCCCCAACTTTGCAATGGATATTCCTGTTTTCTGTTTCAGTTAAGTTTTTTTTTAAAATCTTGTCCAGAAATCAGCTTCTCCTCATGTTCAACTCTTCATGTGCTCCATCTGCTGCTTTGACGTTTCAATTACCTGCTTTTCAACCTCACCCACCCTTACAGGTCTTTTTCAAGATACCATGGCTTTCCGAAGACTGAGATCTGTCGTTATCATTCTGGTATTTTTTAAACAGCCTGGTATTTCTCCTTTGAAACCAGGTTGCTCTGTACAAACACTAACTTGTGGTTAAGTTTGCAACTTGCAATTCGTCCATTCTGAAAGCTTTCGGCCCATTATCATCTGCACTGTAGCAAAACATTACAAATCTCCATTAACAAAGTACCATTCATGATATTGGCACAAAAATGAAAATGAAAATGGTGAAAATCAAGAATTTACCTAGCGGTTTAGTCAATCAGTGGAATAATTATTCATAACCCCCAACTTGAAATTGATTTTAGCAATATATTCGAGCGGCTGGTATAATTAGAGGAATGTGAATTATTTCTTTGGCACAGATTTGTGGATATGGGTAATAATCTAGGCACACTTGGTTATCACTACACAACATACAACACACAAGTTACTTTATGTACAGTATTTATGTACAGTTTACAAACAAGGCATTTCAGAAGCCTAACATTCTAAGCATTAACATTTTTTGCACCCTGGATGCCACCAAATAAATGGGTTCCTATATACCCATCCATAAAAAATGCACCCTAAGCAATTAAAATGTTTATAACTGAGGTACAGTGCCGTGAAAAATAATTTGCCCCCTGATTTCCTCTATTATTGCACATGTCACACTGGATATTTTCAGATCTTTAGACAAAATTTAATATTAGATAAAGGGAACCTGAGTGAACAAATAACACTTTTTTATTATGATTATTTCATTTATTTAATAAACAAAGTTATCCAACACCCATATCCCATTTGTGAAAATGTAGTTGCTCACTTACATTTAATAACTAGTTGCACTACCTTTAGCTGCAATGACTGCACCCAAACGCTTCCTATGATTCAATATCAGTCTTTCAGATTGTTACGGAGGACTCGCAGAACTGCTTCAATTCAGAAACATTGGTAGGATGAAGTTAGAAGTGTTTACCCTTCCAAGTGTCACAAATGTTTATCTAAAATCTAAGAGACACATGTCAGTCACATAAAGCTGTAACAATATGCATGAAGGACATTGCTTTTTTCCCCTATGAACTCTTGGCTCTTGGGCTTCCAATAAACACATCTCCTGATATCATTATCATTACACTTCAGTCCAGTGCAAAACAACTGACCTGCTGAGCCTCTCTGCATTCATTGGAACATGCTCCAAATAACATCCAGGAAAGTAAAAAAAAAATGTTTTTTTTTACATTCACCTCCCACATTATTCTCACATCCATTTTCTACGTGTGGACTTCTGCTTTGAACAACGAGCAATGTACAGAAAAAGTGAAAGACATTTCTCTGGCTTCTCACAAACCTGTTAATTGAAATGCACTTAAAGGTTTTTTTTTTTAACTCTCCGGTTCATAAACTGGTTATTCAGCATACTTCTGCATCTGGTGATGAAGTCACTCAGCACACAACAAGGCAGAAGGACCTCTGAGCCACCATTGCTGCAAATCAAATTTCAAGACTTTCTGTTCTACCTTCTTCCGTGCTTGTTTCATCTTTCAGCATTCTTTCTCAGTCTGTATCTGTTTTTCTTGATTCTGCTTCTTGTTTTGTTGATTACCCTGTCCTCTGAATCTCAGGCCTCTCACTGTATTCTTTCTTTTTTGCCTTTTCTCCTCTGGTTTCTTGTGTCTCTATCTCCCGAGTCCAATTCTGCCCTGGGTTCATTCCTCTCCTGTTACTGATGCCATCTCCTCAGTCCCAGGTCTGTCTGTCATTCTACCTCCAGCTCAGGCAGTAGCTGTCCCACAGCTCTTAATCCAGCCTTGTTTATGTGTCTATCCCCAGCATCCATTTCGGATGCTTCTTGTCCATTCTTCTTGTCTCCTTCTGCCTTAATGCCATCTCTTTGGCCCCCGTTCCGTTTTGGCTCTTCTTAATTTCATGCAGGCAGCTCCAAGCCACTGCTGCTTCTGGGTCAGTAACCTTCTCTGTTACAGCATTACAGCTTGAGTCCAGAGCTGGAGCTTTTGCAGCTCCCTGGAGGGGGGCAGGACCCTAGAGGTTTATTTTCATCTCACAGGAGTTTTTGTTTTCCTCTCCACAGTGCCCACATGGCCATATTTCTACACTGGCAACCACTCAGTACAGTACTTCATGATGCGTTCAGTCCTATTTCAGTCTGTGGGAAACCCAGCAGACTAGTCCTCAACACTTAATTCTGTGCCATATGAGGAGTTACAGTCAACAGATTAACATGTCACAGCTTCTACTTTGGCCGGCCTCTCTGATCCTTGACTACGGCTACTTTCTTTCATTTAAGCCCAAAAAGTGACACGCTCAATCCACAAAAATAGTCCCTATTATTGGCGGCTCTCCCACATTCTCAAAGCATTCTCATTTCCACTGATCTTGCACTCTCTGCCCCATGACTGCATCCCATTGCATCTTTTTGTCAGTTATGTTTTGCACATAAGGAATTTCTGTCTCTGCTGGGTCACCTCAACTATGCCATACAGGTTACAAAAGTGGTCTTTTATTTTACATCTTCTCAAACTTGCTTCATCAATGTGATACTAGCACCACTCCAAATTTGCAATTTAAGTTAAACTTTGGTTTTGGCACTTATTTTAACAAAATGGAAAGGATTGTTTTTTATGCTGAGTCTTGTTCTTTACAAAGTTTTTACAGACACAGCCCTTCTCCTTGCCTAGGAAGCTATTATCAAAATCAGTGATTAGCAACATCTTGGCCTTCTATGTTTATTTTCACCCTTTTTTCTGATCGTTCTTCCACTTGATTTAAACAATTTCCAATTTTCATTGCTACTTTTTTTTTTTTGGGGGGGGGGCACAGTTGGAAACTACAGGTCCTTATCCATTCAGATAACATTACCATTTATAATCAACAAAGGAAGATGCTCTCAATTTCTGAAATTCTTCAGTATTTTCAATGGCTTTTTCTCCCACTGGATAATCACCCAAACTTTGCTCATGGAAGTCAAGCTTATGGGATCCCTAACAACTCACTACATATTATGGTTTTATGACAAAAGAGTATTTTTGTCTCTTTCAGTCACCCCAAATTCTAATCCCTATGGAGTTTGCATCTGTAGCTATACCCTCAAAACTAAACTTCAAATCTTCTTCAGGATATGTAACCAATAAATGAGTCTCCTATCAGGGAAGAGAAAACTATCCATCCATCTCCCTCTTTTTTAATGTCATAAATTAAGTAGAAGCTACATTTGACCAAAAATATCCAATTTACTTGTCAAAATCCCTGGTTTTATGACAGAATGCCTGTAAATCAGAATTCCCCTTAAACAGTACGTTTAGGGTAAGTGGATAGGGCAGTTATAACCTCTTGATCCTGTTTGGCCATGGATCATAACCTTTACTAGTACCCTTTACTAGTGCCTCTGTAATAGAAACAGTTGAATCTACTACTACTTTAGTAGTCCCTGGGAGGTATCTGCATAGAGTTTGTAGATTTTCTTGGGTTTGCATGTGCTCAGTGATGGACTGGTGTCCACGGTGTCCACGGTGTCACCTGCTTTGTGCCCAAAGCTTGCTGGGATAGGTTCTGGCGCCCCTGCAATATGGAAATATTGTATAAAGAAGTTAGAAAATAGATGGATGAAAGTAGGACAGCAAGCTCTCTGTAACAAAGTTCAAATTACTTCAGTCTCCAAAACGTATCCAAACAAGGTCCTATGGCATTGTACAAACTTGGTGGAAGAGAAAGGTAATGGTTTTCATGGTTTCACCATGAACTTTTTTAGTTTCTTTATCTCCCATTCCCTATTTCACTTTGTCTTTTCATGCTCTGTTTCTTCATTGAAACATATCTCTCATTCTACTTTCAGCAAACACCTGAAATGAAACCCATTGTCTGAATGAAGCCTTGAGAAGTGCAGTACAAGGGAAATGGCAATTGTTATAGATTTTATGACTCTACCATAGATTGTAACAAAGTTATAGGTAAGGTTTTTGCCTTTTTTTGAAAATCCACAAACCCGACACTCCGGAACGCCAAATCAGTTGCATCCCGAGATCAGCATGCAACTCACATCTCAGCCTTTCTTGACAGCCTTGTAAGACCAACAGTTAAATAGCTTTCTTCTTATATTAAGGACACTAACCACGCTCAACTTTTTGACGATTTTCATTTTCAGGACCTGGAGTGTTTTCTTTTCACCATGGTAGTCACATCATTCCCCCACCCAAAAAGCCGGTTTTAACCCTTAAGTGCACAGTGAGCAAACGCATAGTGCTTGAGCCAACCTGCCATACTCTTGTACGTCTTGCAGGATAAGTGCCTTCTCTTTCAATTACGAGCATGTTAGTGGAGTAACCATGGGCACCATATGGTAATGGTGAAATATGCAAATAGCTTTGTCAGCTGGGTAGAAGAATGCTTCTTTGCTTCTAATACTGGTTTTGTCCCTGA